CCTCCTGCATGTGTCCCTACGTTTTCTTAAAAATGGGCACATTGTCCTGTATTTTCTGTCTCTTCTCCCCCAGTACTGATGGGTCCTGCTGCTGGCCGGATCCCTGCTCGCCAGCTAGCCACCTACCAGCAGTGAGTGGAAGGGTCCAGTGGCCGACAATGGGGGTGGGTGTGCAAGCCTGGTGGCAGGGCAAAGCTGCAGCACGGGGGGCTGGCCACTCTCCCTGCTGGTCTGTCAGCGCAGTCCCCTCTGCGGATCGGCTCTCGGCCAGCAGGGCCTGGCCCCCTGTCCCGTTTCCAGCAGGCGTTGGCTGCACTCTGCAGTGGGTTGTGAGTGCGAGCAGGTGCCAGGCAGTGGCTGGCTACGTGTCGCCTTTACTGCCCACCTGTAGGCCCATTACGTGCTCCCCCTCTCACTGTCCTTTCCCTGCTTTGCCCCTTCACCCCCACCAGCCCTGCTGTTCCTCCAAATACCTCTGGGCGGGGCGTGTCCCAACCCCCAGTGCTGTGTGGAGAACCAGCCCCTGGTCAGAGCGCTCAGCTCACCAGCAGCCCGGCTGGCAGGTTCCTTCCACCCCCCGCTGCCTCTGGCTGGGCCGGTGCCCTGGGAAAGCCCAAGACCCTCTGCCCCGGTGCACTGGCCAGGAGGAGCCAAGCCTGGCATGTGCCAAAGCCCCGGACATCGCTGGCATGGGGAAGCCTCTCTGCCCCTCAGCTAAGCTCTGGAGTGGCAGGGGGGCAGCGATTTCCAGCCTGTTCATGTCCTGACCCTGCAGGCTCTACTGCAGACCCTGGGCAGCAGCTTAGCACCCTCTTCACTCCCCACCCCCAAGCCCTGGGTCCTGCCCCCAGGGAGCATGGGGCTGCTCCATCCCCTAGGCACCCTCCTCTGTTGAGCCACCTCTCTGGCCCGGTTCGCTGAAGCCCCTACAGTCAGGTTCCCTGGGCCCTGATGCATCCTTAGGGCTTAACCCCTTCCTGCCCGCACTGTTGCCGGGGGACAGGAGGCGGCTGGGCTGTCGGTGGCCAGCAGCAGCCTGCAGGTGTTAGCTGCTTTTCAACACTGTGTGGGCAGGAAGGGATAAGCTGCTTCCAGGCACAGGGATGTGTGTGTGTGTCGGGGGAAGAGATGAGCTCTGCAAAGACACAGGCCAGGTCACCCCTTCCCCTTCCCTTTCCCCTTCCCCTTGCCCTCCTCCCCTGTGGCTGGAAGCAGCTCCCATCCCCTTCTTTCCGCACCGTGCCAAAAGGCTGCTGCTGGCCACATTCTGGTGTGAACCCTGGCAGAAATCTGGGGAGGGAGGGCATGCGACCCTGCATGCCCCCTGCCCATGTATTGCCTCAAGAAGACATGGCGCCAGGTACCAGGAGAGGTGGGTCCATCCTGGGGGCCAACCCAGAACTGGAGGGCGGAAAGTGCCGGGCAGGGAGGGTTGGGTCAGTCGGTCACCCCCCGCCGTGTGAGAGAGCTGTACGGGAGTGTGTGTATGTCACCTCTCTCTGTGTGAACTCTAAAGTTTTAAAGATAAGAAGGTAAATAAAAAGAATCCAGCTACGCAGCGTTTCTTTTTAACAGGGGCTCAGTCAACTTGATGTTAATTTGAATGTTTGTACTGCATCGGTCTGATTGGTTGCCATTGAACTCGTTTGAAAACAAGTAATTTTACCAGGTGTCCCGTAATCAGCATAGGGAAACATGGTCACCCTAAGCCTGGTGCAATTTTCCTTATCTACTTTTCTCATTGCCCCTGTTTCTAGTATCTGTTTCTGTAAATAGATTTGACCTTTTTATCTGTCTCACCTCCCTGATGGACAGGGCTGTATGCAGAACAGTGGCAGTGATACAGTAACTAATGTAAAAAGAACAGGAGGACTTGTGGCACCTTAGAGACTAACCCATTTATTTGAGCATAAGCTTTCGTGAGCTAACACCCACTTCATCAGATGCATGCGGTGGAAAATACAGTAGGAAGATATATATACACAGAGAACATGAAACAATGGGGGTTGCCATACCCACTGTAATGAGAGTGATCAGTTAAGGTGGGCTATTATCAGCAGGAGGAAAAAAAGCCTTTTATAGTGATAATCAGGGTGGCCCATTTCCAACAGTTGACAAGAAGGTGTGAGTAACAGCAGGGGGGAAAATAAACATGGGGAAATAGTTTTACTTTGTGTAATGACTCATCAACTCCCAGTCTCTATTCAAGCCTAATTTAATGGAGTCCAGTTTACATTGGCCAAACTGAACTCTACGTAAAAGAATAAGTTTCAGAGTAGCAGCCACGTTAGTCTGTATTCACAAAAAGAATACATCCGATGCATCCGATGAAGTGAGCTGTAGCTCACGAAAGCTTATGCTCAAATAAATTGGTTAGTCTTTAAGGTGCCACAAGTCCTCCTTTTCCTTTTGCGAATACAGACTAACACGGCTGCTACTCTGAAACCTCTCAACCTCCCTGGTCACTCAATTACAGACCTAAAAGTCGCAATACTACAACAAAAACACTTCAAAAGCAGACTCCAACGAGAGACTGCTGAATTGGAATTAATTTGCAAACTGCATCATCAATGCACCCCTGGACATCTCCGTCATCAGTATAAATATCTCATCCTTTACTGAATCCTGCTAGGCTCTCAAAATGCTGTCTTACTGCAGTGAGTTCCACATGATCATTGTGCATGGTCCTGCACCTTTAATCTGTTTTAAATTTGAAGCCTGGGTTCAATATCCAGTTTTGATACTGACTTCTTGGGCAACTTACAGTCTCCCTCTGTGCCTCAGTTTCCCCACCTGTAAAATGGAAATAATGATATCCTCCTTTGTAAAGTGCTTTGAGATCTAGATATGAAAAACAATAAGAGCTAAATATTATTATTAGCAGATAAGCACAGCAGGCTGTCACTACTTGGGCAGACAGCCTTTCAACCATAGTGATCAGACACTCATGCCCCCCACAGCTTCTCCCCCCCGCTTGCAACTAATTCCCCTTTCTAATTCCTGCCTTGGGCTGATGAAAGAGAGAGGGCCCTGAGTGCACACGCGCCAGGCAGAAGGAAAAACTTGAGAAGCCCAGCTCTCAATGCTGGGAAGGTACACCAGAGACCTCTGCCAGGAGGCCCTGAATCCCAGAAAGGGGGACAATGAGTCCGATCCTGCTCGTATCTAGGGGGGTAAATCAGGAACAATGTCCCTCATAATAACAGAGTTACAGTGGTGTATGCAAGACAATGAGAACAATGGGGCCCTGAGATTCCTTACTGAAGTGGCCAGAGAGCCTGATGCTAAGCCCCTGCCTACACACAGACACACTCCCTCTCTCCACTCTTCACCAGCCCACCTCAGTGGAGAACAGGCAACATTACCCAATGCACCAGGATCACAAGGAACCAGAACAGCATGCATTCAATTGTCAGCTCCTTGGGGCAGGGGCTTTCTTTTTGTTCTGTGTTTGTACAGCACCTAGCACAATGGGGTCCAGGCCTATGACTGCTGCTCTGAGGCAGTACCGCAATAACACAAGAAAATAATAATTAATGTTATGAGCTGGGTGAAACTTTGTTATGAGTTAAAACCCCATTGAGATTGATAGGTGTGAATTCGCTCTTCAGTTAACATAACTATAAGCAAAGCCCTGACAAAAGTTGTGTGTGAACCCACCCAGGAGGTTTTGGCTGAGCTGTGTGTGTGTGTGCATGCGAGAGAGAGAACACACAGAAACTGAAAACCAACAAGGATGGACAGAGGCAGAGCCAAAAAGCGAGAAAGCAGCACAGTCACTTGTGAGCACAGTGTGACCCTGGGAAAAGCTAGCGAGAGCTTTTAGGTCCGTTGGCTAAAGAGGCTCGGAGTTGTAAGCCAAGAAACTGATGCTTTTGTTCTTGGTTCCTCCTGCTTTCTGAGAAGCAGGACTTGGTACCCTGCTCATAAAAATAAACAAGATTGCATCCAAGAAAATACCAGACTCCATCAATTTCTGCTTCCAGCTGGAACATCCCCAGAGCCTGGAAATTTGACTAGTCACTTGGGTCGAAAAGGAGTAATGTTAATTACAGTAATTTAACCTTTCTGGTGCAGGTTATCTTTTAATAATGCGGCCCCTGGCACCTGCCCAGTTCTTCCGACCCTTCCCCACTGGGCTGGGGATGGATGGAAGCAGGTTTCCAGCACGTTGTGGTCCCCTAGGAGCAGAGAGGGGTCAAGTAGCTAGCACAGCACAGTCCCCTGGCCACAGGCAGCTGAAGAGGGCAGTGTCCTAAGGAAGCAGCGATCTGGAGATAGGGGGCTGATCTCAGGGCAGTAATGAGTTGTGGGGCAGGTTCCCAGTGGAGCAGAGAGCCAGGGGATGATCCCAAGGCAGTAAAGAGTTGGGAGACGGGGGAAGGTCCCCAGTTCCCTAGGGCACCAGATCCAAGGGGTGGTCCCAGGCATCATTCAGTTGGAGCTAGGTCCCCAGCGTCCCAGGAGAGCAGAGAGCCAGGGAGGGAATCCCAACACAGTAATGAACTGGGGGCAGTCCCCAGTGCCCTACAGGAGCAGAGAGTTAGGAGGTGTGATCCCGGGGCAGCAGTGAGTCGGGGGGCAGGCCCCCAGTGTCCTGGGGCAGCAGCTCTGGGGGGTGATCCCGGGGCAACAGTGAGTCGGGGGGCAGGTCCCCAGTGTCCCGGGACAGCAGCTCCGGGGGGTGATCCCGGGGCAGCAGTGAGTTGGGGGGCAGGTCCCCAGTATCCTGGGGCAGCAGTGAGTTGGGGGGCAGGTCCCCAGTATCCTGGGGCAGCAGTGAGTTGGAGCCGGGGTGGGCAGGGCAGGAATGAGCTGGGGCACTGGGGGCAGGTTCCCAGCGCAGCCCCCTGCCCCGGGGCCGCCGCGGCCCGCACCTGTTCCCGTCCCCCGCCCTGCAGCGCGCCCCGGTTGCCAGCGCGGTGGGTGGGTCCGGTTCTCCCGGCCCCGGGGCGCGCATGCCGGGCCCGGCGCTGTGCGGGCGGTGCCGGGATTGGCCCGCCCCCGCTCCCGCTCCCCGCCCGGCACACGGACTCCTCGCAGCTCCGGCGGTGGCCGCCGCGCTCTCCCTCCCGCCCCCGCGCCCGGCCGGACCCCGCTGCAATGAGTCCCCGGCGCTGCTGAAGGATGGTGGCGGCCCGCAGAGCGCCTGCCCCACGGCTCGGAGCCCTCCTCCTCCCCGGGATCGTCCTCGGAGCCTGCCTGCTGCGGCCCGGCAAACCAGGTGAGGGGCCGGGCGGGGAGAGCCCGGCTCCGCTGCGCCAGCAGCTGGGGTGGGGTGCGGGGTTCGCGGCTCCCTGCGGGGCGCGGTCTGTGGGTGAGGCTGCGGGGCACGGGGGGTGCAGCGTGTTCCTGCGGGGGGCTGATTTAATGGGGAGGCTGCAGGGAGTGGGGCTGGGCGGTGCATCCTGGTGCAGCCGGACACAGGGTTTGCAGAGTCCCGTGGGCCGCGCAGGGCGCTGGCTGTGGGAGCTTTTCCTTGTGCTCCCTTCATGTCGGAGAGCCTGAGGGGGGCCGCGAGGTGAGCCCCTGGCTCGCCCCCCGTGGGCGCAGGCTCCCGTCCCCGGAAGGGACCGGCTGGCTGGGAAACACAGGGTAGTGCTGGCTCCGCCATCTCCTCCTCGGTTGAGGGCAGGGGATGAGGGGGGCTGGGGGCTGCGGTGCTTTTCGGCCTCGGGAGACTGCACTGAAGGCCAGCAGGAGCCGGGCTATTGTATTAACTCAGCCCTGCGCCGCACGCTCAGCTGCAGAGTGTCACAAGAGCCTTACCCAGAAGCAGAGGAGGGCTGAAGAGAGTCCAGAGCTGTCCAGAGTTCAGGACAGAAGGGTCCCTCTCAGTGGGATGTCCCTCCCCGTGGGGATTCATACAAGAGCAACAATGGGTGGAATGAGGGCTAGGACCCCAAAGCCCTGTGGTTCCCAGGGTCGTTTTAGTTGTAAACCTCCTTGTAGCGGTGGGAATCGCTCCCCACTCCAATGGCTCCTGACCAGTAATGCACCAGCACGGGTCAAAAAATGCCCGTGTCTGGAAGATGTGTGACCCCTTTGCCTATAGGAGGATAGCTGAGAAATAGGATGGTGACCAAGTCTTGGGTTTAGCTATTTCCTTCTCTAAAGTCTTAAATGACATGGTTCGTGAGGATCTAAACCAATCTGAAAATAAACCTTCCCAAGCCTTGTGGTCAGTCCCTAGCGTAGAGGAGAGAGGATAGTGCTTACACAGCCGGAATGTGGTGCGGCAATGAACCCAGCTGCTTCAGTCTCTCTATGTGTGTGGATCTATTCGGAGAACCAGGAAATCTCATGACGATACCGATGTTTGCATAGCTGTGTGTGACCAGGAAGAGATGGCTCTTAATGTCCAGTATAAAGAATTTTTAAGTTACTATAAAACACAAGCAGTGTGAATTTTAATATGAATAGTTAAGGGCTTCTGAATGTTTGACCAGTGTCTGTCCATGAGCCTCCCTGAGAGGACCATCCAGCATGTTGTTGACCAGACCAAAACTTCAGATCTGTAATAAGACTTCAGATTTAACCAGAATGACATAATATTGGTCGCCTCCACACGGCTCTCAGGGGAACAGAAGGCCAATATTTTCCTCTGCAAGCTAACTAAAAACTTGTGAATTTACCAGTATAAACTTCTTAAAAATCAGGTTAATTTACCCAGGAAAACCGGTCTGTCCATTCCTGAGACAGGGGACTTTGTGTGTGTAAGGTGTTCGGGGCAGAATTTGGGTTTGTACAAAAGTTTTTGTGTTAGTGGTGTCTCTCCTCTCCAGTGCAGCATATGGATCTGTTTCTGACAGCCTTAAGTTGAATAGTACCTGACTCTATGCGTTGTGGACTAAGGTACTATCCAGCATGAAGAAGGGTGGCAGAATCTGACCCTTTCGGGATATGTCTACACAGCCCATGGCAGGAGCCTCCCCGCCTGGGTCTCTGGACTCAGGTTAGCTTGTGCTGGAGGAACTCGGGCTCTTGACGCCTGCGGAGAGGGACTTCAAAGCTCCGTCTACACAGCTATTTGTAGAGCCAAGTCCATCAGCCTGGGCTGGGAGGCTCGCTGCTGTGGCTGTGTAGATGTACACTTAGGGTATGTCTACACTGCAGTTAGACACTGCGGTGGGCCTGTACCAGCTGACTCGGGCTTGCAGGGCTCAGGCCATAGGGCTGTTTAATTGTCGTGTAGATGTTCCAACTCAGGCTGCTTTCTTCCTTTCTCCACCCCTTTCCTTATTGCGCAGAGGCCAGGACAGCGCCTAATGGTGCATGGTGCGCTGGTCATTATGAAGTGGGCTAATATAGCAATGGAATGGCGAGTGACTTTCCCTATAGGTTTGGTCCTATATATTTATCATCACATGCTGGACCTTACTCCTTCCTAGAATCCCAATGACTAAAATGGGATTCCTCAATGGAGGAATTGTCCATGCATGCAGGATCAGACCCTGCAACCCTCCATCTAACCTTTGAATGAGTAGAAGGTGACTTATGCAGAGGGAGAATAAATACATAGTAATCATGTCTAAGTTACTTCTTACAGGCTTTGTAAGCCAAGCCTTTGATGATTTAATAAAAATAAGAGTTCTCTGTTAGTAATGTGTTCAGATAGTCAGGAGTCACTGGCAATTAGTGCTATTTGCTGTAAATCTTTACACTTGGGTGGTTCTGTTTGCTGAAATATTACAAGATGCTTGTACCCGTGGATCTATTTTCAGACTAGTGGGAGAGTATTCATCCTGCACTGGGTCAGGTTCTTGTTTCTGTATCAGAGCTGGGAGGAGCCTGACAAGCCATAGCTTTGTTTAAAAAGTAGAGCTATTTTAACAATGAGCTAACAGTCTTGCTGAACTGTGCCTGCCCAAGCACAAAAATTGCTCATCCACCCTGTGTTATGATGACTGATCAAGAACAAAATATGCACTAAAAAAAAAAAAAAAACTACTCACTGAAATTCCTCACTTTGAGAGAGTAGAATTGTCAGCTACAATGGTTAAAAGAGGTTTCCCCTATTTTCCCCTTAAAGAAATTAAGTGGACTTTTTGCCCATCATAGTAACCTCTGCTGTCTTCTTTCGGCAGTGACAAGTTTGGTGAAGGAGCTTGTTTTGTAGGATTTGAAGTATATGTGTGTGCTGTGTTCATTTGAAAACTGACTGGCTGATTTCTAGGCTGTGGCACAGAGCATAGGAATAGACTAAAAACTAGAGAGTTGCAGAGCCTTGGCTCTGAATTTCAGAGTGTATTAATGCACAGACACCGTTAATGCACATACACCAGTCCTGTGAGAGCCACTTCAGTTCCAAGAGTTCATGTATTTGGACTGTGGAAGTGCTGATTTCTGGGGCTTCAGTAGGTTGCTCTTCAGTCACATGCCAAACCTGTACACGGTGTTTGTAATTTCTGGCTAATATTGATGACGGAAAGTCAACAAAAAGGCAGTGTCCTTGGTTTATGAGAAAAGGAGTACTTGTAGCACCTTAGAGACTAACCAATTTATTTGAGCATGAGCTTTCGTGAGCTACAGATGAAGTGAGCTGTAGCTCACGAAAGCTCATGCTCAAATAAATTGGTTAGTCTCTAAGGTGCTACAAGTACTCCTTTTCTTGTTGCGAATACAGACTAACACGGCTGTTACTCTGAAACCTGGTTTATGAGAGAGATTTTTACAGTGGAATCAGTGCTGGCGTTCGGGGGTAGCAAGCAGAGCAATTGCCCGGGGCCTCACGCAGAGGCAATGCGTCTGGGGGGACATGCAGGGTCATGTGCCCCCGCAGATTTGCTGCTTGGTTTGTACTGAGAACGCTCACACAGATGGAGCATGCTCAATTATACTGCTGAAGCCAGATGCCCTCACTCTGCCCCTTCCCCACTATCGGCGGTCATCTCTGGCCCCATGCCACAGGGGCCCCGCAAGTGTGGCGGGGCTCGGGCTTTTTGGCTTCAGCGGGGGTGGGGGGCCCGCTCCTTAGTTACTGCCCTGGGCCCCAGCAAGTCTAATGCCGGCCCTGAGTGGAATGTAAGCAGTTTCTATCTCATTATCTGTAGAAAGTACATAAAAAGCTTTCTTCTTATCCAGGGAGTGCCCACTGACATTTCACAGTGCCAGTGTGCTCCTGTAGGATCTTCAGTACTGTGTCTTAGGTGACCCATAATTGTCCTGTCTAGTCGTTCTGTGCTGGAGGGATGGGCACTATCAGGCAGAGATGTGAGGGGAGGCAGAGGTGGTATAGTTAAGTGTGGGTGGATGGAGAGTGATGGGTTGGTAAAGGATAGGGTTGGGTCTTCAGATTGTCATCATGTCCGAGGATGATCCTTCTCAGCTGAGTTTGGAAAACTCAGAAGCCCCGATTTTTAAAGGTATTTAGGTGTTGCTGTGCACAGCTCGCAATGCCTATGTCTCATTTTCAAAAGTGACTTAGGCTCCTAAGTGCCTAAATCCCATCAACTATCAATGGAATTTTGGCTTCTAAGAGCAATACTCCCTTTAAGAATGTGATATTTAGGCTCCTAAATCAGTTAGGTGTAACACTGAGTGCAGCAGTGCCTAAATGCTTTTGAAAATCTAGCCCTAACTCTACCAGCCAAAGGATGATATGAAAAATTGGAAGGGAATGGGAGAGAGAATGCTGGAGGATGCATCATCTCCAGTGTCTTGGCTGCTATCCATAGCTTTCTCCCAGTAGCAGATGTAATTCCAGTCTGTTTCTCTGTAGCCCACATGTTTTGGACTAGCAGTATTGAAACTGACCAGCGTTTGGTCAGTTTCAGTCTGGGGGTGGGAGTGTCTGCTCAGGTGCTCTCTAAGCTAAGATGTAGTGTTTTCAAAAAACCTCATGAATAGATTATCAATGGACAGTAAAATTCAGAGGGTTAGTGTGCAGCCTTATCAGAGCAGCAGCAGAAAACAAGGATTAAATGGAAACCTGTTCCTCCGAAACTGCCACCTGAGGCCTGGTTATTTTACCAATTACTGAGCTTCTGCAGAACAACAAACATTGAACTTCTTTCTAATAGCGCACAACAGCATGGAGGGACTTGTCTTCCAAATGACAAAGGAACACCGTAATCTGCTATCCTTCACTTTCCTTGGAGATGGTTTTTTAGGGATTTGATTAGCACAAACCATGAACAAATGCCAGTGTTGTAGGGTTGATTAATTTCAGGTACTTCTGCATAAATCCCCTCCCCCAAGATGATTTAAAACAACTTAACTTCT